CAGCAAGGGTGTCACTTTAAAGACTAAGGTGCATAGATGATGACCTTTGAAATGGAACAAATGAAGGAAAAAGAACTGTTTAAAAGTGATATGTATTTCAAATCCTACTACACATATAATAAAATTTAAAAAAAAATAAGAGAAGAGATTTTCTGTAGTTAAAACTAATTTGAAGCTACAACAGCCAGAAAAGGTGTCTGGACTGGCACAGAATCGAAGCTGCCACTGGATCCCAACAGTCAGAGAGTCACAACTCTTGTAACAACACAAGAGACTCCACCACCACAGTGCCCTATAAACATTCTCAAGAGGAGAAAAAAAAAATCATTGGGATCTTAGATTCAAACAAAACCCCTCAAACTTGATGCCATCAAATTAGTGCCAACTCTGAGAGTCCCTCCACGGGATTTCCATCGCAACAGAAAGGGCCAGTCATCTTTCCACTTATGGAGAAGCTGGTGGATTCCACCCTGGGAGCCATACAGCCAGCTCTCTATGGATTACACCACCGGAGCCCGCACCCCACCCCATGACCTCAGGTCAGGCAAAGAGTTCTCAGATATGATGCCAAAAAGCACAAGAATCCCTAACAGAAAAACTGACAAGTCGAATTTTATCAAAATTCAAAGGACTTGTGCTTCTAAAAAGCAGCATTAAGAACACAAAAAGCCACAGAAGAAGAAAAAAATAATACTCTCACATTTATGCAGTAAAAAAGCTAAAACCAGGCGAGCTCTGGTCACCTAGTGGCAAGAAGTTGCACTGCAATCCCAGAGGTGTGCGGTTCAAATCCACCAGATGCTTTGCTGGAAAAGGAGGGACAATCTCCTCCTATACCAGTCAGATGTGATTTGACGGGACACAAAAAAAAATAATAAAATTTAAAAAATAATTAAAAAAAAAAAAGCTAAAACCCTTAGGGAGCTCTGGTGACCTAGCGGCAAGAAGCTGCACTGCAATCCCAGAGGTAAGTGGTTCAAGTCCACGGGATGCTCTGCTAGAGAAGGCAGGGCAATCTCTTCCATTAACAAAAAAAAAAAATAATACAGGGAAAAAAACTGAAGAAAAGAAAAAAAAAACACCAACAAAAACCAAACACCCAGCATACATAAAAAACACTTGGAATTTTATATTTGAAAAACTTCCAACAATCTAATTTTGTATTCACCTGGCGGTTAAATTCCCTATTCCTCGTGATCTCTGTTTTCTGCTTAATGCAGTCTTTGACAAAGAAGGGAAAAGTCAAAACTAATTCAAATCTGGCTCTCTTTTTCAATCACCCACCAAGATTTTCACAATTGCTTTCAAGCTCCTAAACTTCCAGCTTCCAGCCCCCAGTCGGCTTTCTGGGGCATTTCGACATCCTTCTTCTCCCTCTACAGTATTTCTTTTTGAGATTTCTCAACTCCAGGCAACGTATATTTTTCTATGAGCTTTGGAAATTTGCTCTCCTAACTTAACAACAGAGCGACCCTCTGGACAAGAGATCTGAACCCAGCCCTATCCGGTGCCATATGACCATCTCAACTACACTTGACAGTTACCGTGTCAATCCATCGTGCTCAGAATCTTCCTCTTTCACTGACCCTCCACCTTTCCAAGCAGGGTCATTTTTTCCAAGGAATGATCCCTCTTAACAACAAATCCAAAGACTTACGATCAGCATTTAAATAGGATACTGGGAGATGTGGAAGACAGAAACTCATGAGGAGCACTGCAATCCCAAAGGCGTGCAAGATGCTCCGCTGGAGAAGGAGGGCAGTCTCCTCCTGTGCCAGTCGGCTCAGATTCGATGGTACAAAACATGAAAAAGATAAATTTAAAAAATCATTTTAAAAAACCAAACACAAAAGCGGCAAGAAGCTGCACTGCAATCCCAAAGAAACTCATGAAGAAATAGATATATAAAGCTCTGCAAAGCTCAGAGGTAAGATGCTGCTCTACAAGCCCAAAGGCACCAGGTTCGAATCCACCAGTTACTCCCCGCGATTTCCCGCCTCAAAGACCCGCTGGAGGACCAGCAATGGGTCGGTTCTGACTCGCCGGCACACAAGTGCCCAAACGTGGGTTCCACTCGCACGCGGGCGCCCACACTCAGCTGCCCTCCCCCAGGAGCGGCCTCCGCCCGGTGAGACCGCCGGCATCCCGGGTCCCCGGGAAGGTCCGGGAGGCGGAGGGGCCGCGCGCGCACCTTCTGGTCCAGCTCCAGGCGGTAGGGCACGGGCTGGATCCGGCGACGAGGCCGCAGACCGGCGCCGGGCTCGGACCCCGAGCTGGGCAGCACGAAGGTGGGCACGCCCAGCGCCCCCGAGAAGCTGAAGCCCCACACGAAGATGCGGTGGGCGCGCGCCGCGCGCTCCCCCACGTACTGGAACGCGGGCGCCTCGGCCTCGGCCTCGGCCTCCTCCCGCCGACTCCGCGGGCGCCCCGCCGCCGTCTGGTGCCCCCGCCCCAGGGCGCTGAGCAGCCCGCCCGGCCGAACCCCCGCCGCCCGCGCAGCCAGCGCCATGCTCCGAAGCACGTCTCGGCGGCCGATGGGCGCCGCCATCTTCGTAACCCTTGACCTCACGCCGCGGCGGAAGAGGTCGCGGCCACGTTGACTACTGGCTGAGGGCGAAGGAGCTGCTGGCAGCCGACGCAAGGCGCCTGGCGAGGTGGGGCGGGCCACGTGGGCGTCCTGAGTGATCCGACCGCAGGGCACAGGCCTGGGCCGGCCGGCCTGATAAACTGCTCGGTGCTCCGTTCACGTCTCCTGAGCATCTTTGCCAAAGTCACTTCCCAAAGTCCGACTTCAAGGTCGCCCTCGGGTCAAAACTGCAGTGCTCGCCCTAGCCTTTGTTCAGTGTGCCAGTCACTTAACCTGCTTCACCCGGTTTAATTGCAGGCCCATGCCCATCCGCTACCAGCCATGCAATCTGTCTTCCACCAAAAACAAAGTATATACCCCTTCCTGTTGTCTTCACTACAGAAAAACTGAAGTGCTAAACAGCAAGGGTGTCACTTTAAAGACTAAGGTGCATAGATGATGACCTTTGAAATGGAACAAATGAAGGAAAAAGAACTGTTTAAAAGTGATATGTA